GCACCTACATACCAATTTTGAGAAGAATCGGTTCAACAATGTGGGAGTTATTCAAAATTTTATGACGTCACGACACACAAAAATTTTGAAAAATGATTTTTTTGGAAGTTCTAGACCTCGTACGGAAACAAAAATAGCACCATTCGATTCGCCGTGAAAAACTGCATCAGATAGACACCTTTTTAGGCCTTAAAACCCAACTTCAAAATTTGACCTCACTTGACCTGACCTTGACCTGACCTCGACCTGAAATTCATCCAGACGTGGTTCATATCACTTATTGAGTGTGCCTTTTGAATTCTATGAGTAAAATGACCCATAAAACATGTGTCGCACATGCCCTTTATTATATTTTGTTTTTGGTGACCTGACCTGACCTGACCTGACCTTGACCTTGACCTTTGAATGACATTGTATGCAACGAATATTGTCTTGGTAGTCTAAGAACACGTTTTGTGCAATCAGTCTCAGTCCATTCTTCGGCAACTACGGTGCAAGGCCGATACTGTAGAAACTTGCATTTTGTACCCTTGACCTGACCTTGACCTGACCTCTGACCTACTTAAGCAAAAAAATTTCGGCTCTTAAGATCCGCCTTGTTAAGAGCTTTCGATTGCCGTTTTCCCCGTCTTTCTACGACCATCGGTTCGGAAGTTAGGCAGGGGGGGGCAGAATCTGCCCCCCCCCCCCCAGCAGGGCGCGTATGGCTGAATAGCCCAGCGGGGCGCGGGTTAACTGAATTGAGTCACTCCAGGACAATCTAACTATTACCAAGCCGCTCATCAAATGCTACGTTGCATATCAAATTCAATATCATACCCCTTTTTTGGACGCCTAGATCGTGCTATTATAACCCTCGCCCTGGCAGGGCATTTTTCGTAACGCGGCCTGGGGGGGGGGGGGTGATCCGACCTCCTGGCGTTTCGAAACTAAACGTCGTAGCGCTTCCCAACAAAGACAAGTCGATTGCTCTTTACGAGTATTCGCGACTGGTGATACCTATATCTTTATCCTAGGTCAATATTTGACACCGTTTTGGCTAGTCAACGATCAAATTACGGGGAAAAGCTAAAATTTTCCAAGCTATTTAGCCAATAATGGCAAATCTATGAAAGATATCAACATGAAACTTTCACGACCGTGTTTCCCAATGAATTAGCAACAGTATGATGCATAGTTCACTGCAGTTCAGTCATTACTGGCGTGACATAGTCCCCGGGAACACGAGAGTCACACCCGCCGCTGGCGAGGACGGTCCTAATTGACCTGAGGTGACCTTGTACAGATCGAGGAACAATTTTGAAAGCATTTAGATGAAGATTGAACCACAGATTCGGATTCAGGACCTCAAGAAACCCCACTAAACACAGACATGCGAGGTCAATGACCTTTGTTGACCTTAGAAAGGTCAATATACAATGTAATGTTTCATGTCCTGTCAAAATCTGACATAAGTCACACAGAATAATTTCGTTCTTGTCGATGGGATCGCGTCCAGTTACGCCAGATGTACGATTTTGTCAAAAAGAGTCGGAGGTTTTACCTATTGTGAGGTTATAGCTCGGTGACCTGACATGACCCGAAAATATTTTTTACCGAAAGATTGAGCTGAAAGTTAGCAAGTAGGTAGGCACCCACTAAGCCATGCATATCCATGTGCCAGATTTGGGGTGCTGTTGCACGTGCGCACGTGCAGGGGTCGATTCCAGATCTCGAAGACGGCTGGACCGATTGCGCTCAAATTTGGTACACGGTTAGGGAGCAGTTGGTAGGGTGCCGTGCAAAAGTCAGTTGGGACCCAGTTGGCACGTACGCACATGCAGGGTGCCGCTTCCAGATCTCGAGAACGGCTGGGCCGATTGCGCTCAAATTTGGCACATCACTAGGGACCGGTTAGTAGGTCTTGGGGTGCAGTGCACAAGTTATTTGGTGGTACCCCCTCGCAATTTCGCACGTGCAAGGCCCACCCTCCCGCTCACTCCGTTGGTCGCCCCAAAAGGCGTTTTACTGGTGTGCACGATTACTTTATAAAAATGCTGAAGTGTTGCAAGTGATTGACAAATATTGTCCAAAGCATGCTGCCTTTGTCCGACCAAATTCCGATTTGGGCATAGGACAAAATCGGAATTCTGAAGGTACAAAATCCAATTGGCACCACTCTAACAGATGTGGTAAGGTTGTGATAGGTTTTACCGAACGGAGATATAGACGATCTGCACAACTGACAAGAGAAGCCAACCTCTGTCAACTGGCTGGTGTGCAGCAAGCAGATATTGATATTCTGCAACGGTTATTTTTGTTGTTGTTTTAACCCGCGCCCCACTGGGGGGGGGGCTATTTATAGCCCCCCCTCCCGTTTTTCTGCAATAACTTCCAAACCGCTTGACGTATCGATGCCAAACTTTCAGTACCTTCGGCTGCATCAATTTGACACCTTGTGTCAAAATTTGAACTTCGTAGCTGCCATAGGTCGGCCGGAAATGACGTCAGAGTGACGTCATGTTCGTCCGATTTCGACGCAAAACATTGAACCACGGCAATCGCTCCCAAGAGCTCAGTTTTTAAGCTAGATCCAATTTCTTTGCATGAAAGGACTCAGAATTGACCGCGCTATCAAACTGCTATCTCGGATTTTCAAAATTTTGAAAATTTCGAAAATTTTATATAATAATATTCAAAATTTATATTTTTATATTTTTTTCAAAAAGTTTTTGACTTTTCGAAAAAACCGGAATATATGTGACAGAACGCATGAATATGACTAACTCTAGCAAGTTTTAGCTAAATATCTTCAAAAATGACCAAGTTATACGCATTATTGCAAAAAATTCACAATTATTAATTTTTCAAATCAATTTTTCAGTACGTATTTGACATCGTACACCAATATAAATGGCACCATCGTGTTCCTGAGCTCAAACTGCATCCAATAGACACCTTTTTTGTTGAAAAATTTTAACTTCAAAATTTGACCTTTTTTGACCTGAAAGTGACCTGACCTAAGCTAAATTCGACTCAAAATGACCTTGAATGACACAGACGACATCAAATTCGAAATCTATGGCCTAAATGGACCATAAAACATGTGTCACGTGACCGACGCATGATATAATATTTTCGTGACCTGTGATGACCTGACCCTGACCTGAAAATCAAAGTACAAGTTTGGTACCCTCAAGGTATCTAGAGCATCTGTTCACGAGTGTGGAAACCAAAAATGAGCCTGATCTGACTTGTAAGACGGCGGCCAGAGTCCAAAATGTGAACAAGCCAAAGTGCTAATAATTTTTACTTTGACCTGACCTGTGACGTCATCGGTGACCTCGAGGTCAATGAAATTAGGTTTCGCTCGACAGTTTTTCCGGGGCTATCAGACGCCGTTTGAATTTTGACGATCGGCCCAGTAGTTTCGGAGTTAGGAGGGGGGGCTATGAATAGCCCCCCCCCAGTAGGGCGTGTTATACACAGACCCCAGTGGGGCGCGGGTTAATCTTTATTCAATAAGGTACCTATGTTAGAGCTGTTGTGCCTATTTGTTTATACACCAAACAACATCGGTGATAGCCAGATAACTATTTCATGGCGTGCAAAGAAAGACTGTTCAAGTTACCCAACGGTCGGGTTATTTGAATACACCGTCACTTGACGGAGAAGCAAGGCTTTACTTCACATTTTTCAAAAAATATGTTCAACTTGAAACTTGATGCACTCTATGGCAATGACTCTTGTCAAGTTGCTCTTAGGACAATAAAAATTTATTTCATTGGCTTCCACTCGCCAAACCCGCTTTTCCTATAGCTCAATCAAGGGATGAATCACTGGGTGGTTCTTTCGACCCCTCCTCACCCTCCTGCAATTGAAGTTAGCCGTTGGCAAAGACACTAATTCGTGCAGGGGCTCATTTTCACTTGTCCTTTTAATGTAATCGGTGACTTAAGCCAGCCGGCCAAATGAACAAAAATCCATACAAACCCAGGTGATGCCACGGGCCCACGGCCCTCATCCTTGTCAGCGTCCACTCCCTCGGCGGCGGCGGCGGCGGCCCGCCGTGCCGTGCACCGCGGCATGTTACCTCTCGCCGCGCCAGGGGCCGCGGGGCGGGACGCTACCCCCCGCTGCGACAGGCGACCCCTGGGCCTGGGCACCGCCGCGGCGGGCGACGGACGACAATAGCGCAAACAAAGGATAGGGCCGCCAGTCAGCCGGCGTAGTGAATGGGTAAATCCTTACTCGATAACACAGCAGGGACTGCTCCACGAACACGGGCAGGCCGTACGGCAGTAGACATTCGATGGAATAGGCGATTCGGGCGTAGGTCAGCCGGGCGTAGGTCACCCGGGCGTAGACATTCGATGGAGTAGGCGATTCGGGCGTAGGTCAGCCGGGCGTAGGTCACCCGGGCGTAGACATTCGATGGAGTAGGCGATTCGGGCGTAGGTCAGCCGGGCGTAGGTCAGCCGGGCGTAGACATTCGATGGAGTAGGCGATTCGGGCGTAGGTTAGCCGGGCGTAGGTCAGCCGGGCGTAGACATTCGATGGAGTAGGCTATTCGGGCGTAGGTCAGCCGGGCGTAGGTCAGCCGGGCGTAGACATTCGATGGAGTAGGCGATTCGGGCGTAGGTCAGCCGGGCGTAGGTCACCCGGGCGTAGACATTCGATGGAATAGGCGATTCGGGCGTAGGTCACCCGGGCTGATCCCCTTGGAACTTGGGAAAATTTTCATCCCACCCTGGGTGTCGTGCCTGAACCTACCACTAACCTGCATGCGGGTGTACGTAGTGCTCATAAAAGCGTGGCGGCGCCGCTGCCTCAAACCTTAGCTGGTCCGTCTTACCCCACCTTCCCCTATGTATGCTGTTGGTAAAAATATCGCTGTGCAGCCGCTCGGCTGTGTCCGTGCTGGCTGTGTCAGTGTGTGACACTCTGGTGTCAGTGGTGCAGCGGGGAGCTGGCGGCAGCTCTGTCCGACTGCAGTCAGCTGACACAGCTCTGTCCGACAGGGCCGGAGGTGACGGAGCCGAGGTGGCCGGGATGGTATGGGAGTGGTCTGTCAGTATCGCTCCAGGGGGTGGCTGCCGACACCATCAGTCACCTGGCTGACCTGGGACGGACGGTCACACTACTGGAGATATACGGTGAGCAGCGGCAGCACAGACAGGCCGCTGATATACGAGATCAGCGAATGGCGGACACCGAGTTGAGGTGTGCCGGTGTCGCACCTCATGGAGACAGGTGCGATACATAGCCAATGTGCTTTGCGATATAATTAAGCTAACTGAGCTCCAAAATGGAGGAGGACTGTTCACTCAGTGACATATTCGTTCAGAGTTAGTGGATCATAGGTACTCATAACAATTGTGTTGCACTGTTCAATGAAGTTCAATGCATTTGCTTAACTGATTACCTACATATATCATAGCACTGTTCAAGCACTGTTTTACCATTGCCTACTGTGTCAATAAAACCATGTGAATTATTAGGTGTTGTTTCGTTTTGTCATATAGGTATCGACATGTATTACAGCCAACTGATCCTGTCTGTATGTGTGTCTGTGTGTTTTCCAGATTGTACTGATCACACGGCCGGCAGCCTGGAGCCCCTCACCAGGTGCCCTGGGCTGCGGTATCTCACCCTGTCCGGCGGCTTCCCTGACACCGTGAGCCTGGAGCCCCTCACCAGGTGCCCTGAGCTGCAGCGGCTGTCAGTCACCGCCGCCGACCTCCCGCGACTGAGGGGGCAGCTGCCGGAGGGCCTCAGACTCCTCAATGTCATAGGTGATATACCTCAGATCACACATGTAATGCCGGTATATGCAAATGAACAGGGGAGACGGCAAATGGACGAACGAATCAGCCTCAACTAGCAAGTTTCACCGGTAATCGTGTATATTACTCGTATTGTGGTGAGAGGGGGAAGGGGTTCAATGCATGCCCTTCGATAATGTTCATGCTTGTTGCGCATGCATGGAATATTAGTGTAACGTCACGGGGTGATTTAGAAGTTTAGGTACTAGCGATAGTTGCATTGTCACAAGCAGCAAATTTCCGAACAAACGTAATGAGTATTAATCGACGACTGACACTGACTGACTACATAGATAGCTCGCTGACGACGAGTCTGAGCAGACTGACGAGACTGACTGGCCGCAGCACTGGCGCGGCGGTTATACATAGTATAGGTGGCGCCACGATCGAAGGCGGCCAGCACGGGAATGCAGGCATTGTTACAAGAGAGCAAGTATTTCAATGGGGAATGATTATAGACATAGTGCAACCAATGAGAGTAGTATAAGTAGTTTCATAGACTATTGTACTACGCATATACTTATCGCATATAGGTACTTATTATGTTCATAGTATTCACATTCTTCTACATACCTACCTATGACTGCTGAGTGCTGGTGCTAAATATCGTTGTGCGGCCGCTCGGCTATGTCAGTGCTGGCTGTGCCAGTGTATGACACTCTGGTGTCAGTAGTGCAGCGGGGAGCTGGCGGCAACTCTGTCCGACTGCAGTCAGCTGACACAGCTCTGTCCGACAGGGCCGGAGGTGACGGAGCCGAGGTGGCCGGAACGGTACTGGTTGTGTGATGATCTGTCAGTGTCGCTCCAGGGGGTGGCTGCCGACACCATCAGTCACCTGGCTGACCTGGGACGGACGGTCACAGTACTGTATATATACGGTGAGCAGCGGCAGCACGGACAGGCCGCTGATATACCAGCTCAGTGAATGGCGGACACCGAGTAACGGTGTGCCGTTGTCAGACCTTATGGAGACAGGTGTGATACATAGCCAATGTGCTCTGCGAAATAATGAAGCAAACTGAGCTCAAAAATGGAGGAGGACTGTACAATCAGTGACATATTCGCTCATAGTTAGTTGAACTACATATTGCGATTGTAATGCAATGTTCAATGCACTTCAATGCATTGGCTGAACTGATCGCATATCCATAACATGGATATGCGATTAGATAACCAGAACATTCATGTTGTCATGTTCATTCATTCATGTTATCATATTCATTAATCATTCATGTTTAAATGGCATATCATATAGTTATACCATGGCTTACGGTGTCCGTAAAAACATGCGAATTCATAGCTGTTTCGTGTTTCCATATATCGACATGTATCCCAGTCGGCTGATCCTGTCTGTATGTGTGTCTGTGTATTCCAGACTGTCCTGATCTCACGGCCGGCAGCCTGGAGCCCCTCACCAGGTGCCCTGAGCTGCGGATTCTCACCCTGTCCGGCGGCGTCCCTGACACCGTGAGCCTGGAGCCCCTCACCAGGTGCCCTGAGCTGCAATATCTCACCCTGTCCGGCGGCGTCCCTGACGCCGTGCTGGACAGTCTCAGCGGCTGCCCCGGGCTGCAGGACCTTACACTGGGGGAACTCCAGCGGCCGGCAGAGACGGCCTTCACAGCAGCAGCGTATACCAGGTCAGTCAGCAGACACTGGCGAGGGGGCGTCCTGTCAGACACTGACACTGACACAGTGACACTTGATACACTGACACACTGACACACTGACACTAACACAGTGACACACTGACACAGTGACACTGACACACTGATAGTGACACACTGACACACTGACACTGACACACTGACACTGACACACTGACACTGACACACTGACACTGACACACTGACACTGACACACTGACACTGACACACTGACACTGACACACTGACACTGGTACACTGACACTGACACACATACACTGACACACATACACTGACACACTGATACTGACACAGGGACACTGACACTGACACATTGACACTGACACACTGACACCGACACATTGACACTGACGCATTGTCACTGACACCAACACACCGACACTGAACTACTGACACTGACACTGACTCGTACGTCCGGCCGACTGGTGCCGCTGTGTTTGTGTGTGACGGCTCTGCTGCTCTGCTCTGTTACAGACTGGTGAAGTCGTGTCGGAAGCTGGACCGTCTGTACCTTCACTGCACGGCAGACACCGGCCGGGCCGTGCTGACCGCCCTGAAGGAGGCGGACCTGGGCCGGGACAGTGATGGCTGGCCCCGTACCATCTGTCTCGATGTCCCCGGTAGGTGAGAGGGCGCCGCGCGCCGCGCCTCTGACCAGTCAGTCCCTCACAACAGACGCTGCACGGCGCCACCGGCCTCTCAGACACACACACTCGACCACCGCCGCCGGCCACGTCACGGACGGTGACGTCACGCGTCACGGCCACCAGGGCCGACGGTGACGTCACGTCAGCCGTCTGTCCTGTGTGTGACGTCACTGGCCGGCGGTGTGTGGACATGGCTGTACCGCTGTCTGTGTGTCTGTCTGTGTGTGACGTGTCCACCTCAGACGTGTCTCTGCTCTGTCCACAGGGGAGCTGTACCGTCAGCTGAAGAGACGGGAAGGCGGTCGGGTCGAAGTGAGGAAGTGGGAGGATTGATGCGCTGCACTACCGACCGTGCAGTGATGAGCTGACTGCAGAGAGGCCGAGCCAGTCGGCCGGGGCCGCCAGCTGACTGCTGCCGTGTGTGCTGCACCAGCCGGCACTGAGAGCGGCGCCGGTCAGCCGGCACACGGCCCCGGTGTCCGCTCTAGTGTAGTGATCTAGTTGTAGTAGTAGTAGTGTAGATGTAGTAGTATCACACGGATGTGATGTAGTGGGTAACTACCCGGCGGGTATTGTGGGTAATTGACTGGACGGATATGATCTAGTGGGTAATTACCGGGCGGGTATTGTGGGTAATTGGACGAGAGATGTGATGTAGTGGGTAATTACCGGGTGGGTATTGTGGGTAATTGGACAAGAGATGTGATGTAGTGGGTAATTACCGGGCGGATATTGTGGGTAATTGGACTGTGGTATGTGATGCAGTGGGTAATTACCGGGTGGCTATTGTGGATAATTGGACAGTGAAAGTGATGTGACTGAGTGTAGAAACTGATCGTGACATTGCGATATTTTGTATATAGAACCCACATTTTAGCTTAGCTGTATAAATGGGGGCCCTCCCGGACCGTCCGACTCGGTTCACCGCGCCTGGTCCACGCGGCGCGGCCTCGGTCACGTGACCGTCCCCCGGTGGAGTCGGACGGCTCGGTCACGTGACCGCCGTGCCGGGTCGGGCGGCTCGGTCACGTGACCGCCGTGCCGGGTCGGCTCGGCGGTCAGTCGGACGGGGACGCTGTCTCACGGGCACCGAGGTGCACAGTAGTGATGTCAATTACAGAAAATCAGAATACCGATACCTAACCAAATACCAACCGAAAATCCCGGGAAAATACCGAAACCAAACCAACTTGGGAAAATGAGGGAAATACCAACTTTTTACCGATTTCTTAGCCTCTTATACATTAGTGAGGGTTCATGATACCAACAAAATACCAAACACATTAGGTACGATTGAAATACCAAGTACCAAGTTGGTATCGGTTTGGTATCGGTATACCAAAACGTTGGTATCCGATTGACATCTCTAGTGCACAGCTCGCCATGTTGCGTGCTCTGGATGCGTCAGGGCCTCGGCTAAGGAATTTTGACTGGTGGGCCACTTTGGCAGCGACATGGACTGACCTTCGTAGCCACAGCCCCCCCCCCCAATTTTCGGTTTCTCCCCAGATTTCGGCCACTTTATTCTGCAAAAAAAAACGTCAGGATGGCATTAAAAAAATGTAAAAAACGGACCTCGACCCCTCCCCCCCCCGACTCTTCAGAGAGAGGAGAGAGTAGAGAGTAGGGACCCACAACCCTCTCAGTGGTGATACTCCGGCGGTGCATATAAAATCGCACAAGTATGCACAAAATATTGACGCAGATAAAACTTTGGACGATAACTTACGGCCGGTCGGATGTTAAAAATCAGCGAGCCCTGAGTGGATCGCTCGCCGACTAGTCGGAGATTTGGAAGCGGTCGGACGGGATCGGGCGTTGTCGGGTGGATCGGGAGGAATTGTGAACAGCACGAGTGCAACTTAACCCGCGCCCTGCTGGGGGGGGTGTTTGAACACCCCCCCTTGTGGTTTTTCGCGAATATCTCAAAAACGGCGGCGCGGAGCGCCGCCGTTTTTGGTACACCTTATCATACATCAATTCTACACATGTTGTGAAAATTTCAGACCAAGGTCATTCAAGGTCAGGTCACCAGGTCACTTGAAGTGACCTCACCTCATAAAAAGTTTCAATGTCTGTTATAGCTACACCGAGTGACCGATCGCTTTGAAACTTTCAGCGATTGCTAAGGGCAATAGCATGTACAAAATGTATATCTCAGAATTTTGATATCGATGACCTAAGGTCAGGTCAATTTTGCGACCTCCCCATTATAAGTCAATGGGAGAAAATTGAAATGCGCCTCTTTTGGACGAAAGACATTATAAACACTCCCAAACACTGAATTACAAGTGGTTTAGACACACTGTACATGAAAATGGTGTCCGTGACCCCTGTTTATGCCCTGAGGTCATCTTAGGTCACGAATGGTATCTAACCGTTTTTCGCAAATAACTTTTGATAGAGGCATGCTAGAGCGATGAAAACGCCTTAGATGTGTTCAGCTAAACGATACTGATCGACTGATATGCAACATGACCCTTTCCGGTCAGGTCATG